GCATTGAAGGCTCATGTTCATCTTGTGGTCAAAAATACTTTGTGAATACCAAAAACTTCTCAAAATATTCTACATTACATAGATAAAGTTTCTGTCAGACAGTGAAAATACCACCCTTCGCATTACTAGATAAAAGTTAAGTACTACTACTGTACTATGTTTCCCAATTTTTTTCCAGACAAGCCCTGTGGCCATCCTGGAGACATTCCGTTTGGCTCCTTTGACCTTACAGAAGGAACTGAATTTGTATTTGGTGCTCGTGTTGAATACAAATGTAATGATGGGTGAGTTTTCTTAAATATTCAGTATGAAATTAGTATAACATTGACTATAAGACTTAAGTAGAATAAGTGTCTAGTTAAGCCTTCTCGTCGTAGAAATCAGATTACATTTTAATATTTTGTATAGTTATGAAAAGCAAAGTTGGAAGTTAATCCACTTCATTAAAAAAAGATATTAGAGCTCCATAAAGGCATCAACACTATTCTCTCTATCATGTTGTTTTATTTGTCCATCGGGGGCACATCTACACTGCACTAATCTGCCATAATTGTGGTACATTAAGTTTACTACCTGTAATAACAGGTACTAACTGCACTATAATTGGTGCTACTGTGCAGTAGTACCAGCACAGGTCTTTTGCATGATACTAACATGCAGTAGACTAATTCTACTGTGCATTAGTGCAGGTTTCACTGTGCCATGCTAATGTGCAGTAGAATTGGTTTAGTGAGCTTCTAGCATCTCATGTAGATGCACTCAGAGACAACCAAATTTATGTTCAGAAGAGGACCGTATTTAATTTTCCTGAAACTAAATGGGCTACAGCTGACTTATTTAATATGGAGATTTATGATACAGAACTAGATGTTTGTGTATTCAGTGATGAATCTTGAGTTAGTAAACCAGAAAAATCATTTGTAATGCAATCATTGCATTCTGGAATCATTTGTTTCTACACTAATGCAAACAGGAAAGGATTTCTTTGGGTGATATATATATATTTTATTAGATCAACTGTGTACTTAGGATAGAGTTAAACAAGCTTTCAAATGCAAACCATCCTTCATCATATCTGACCAGAACCACTTTCTACATTAATGAAATGCTGCTGAAAGAGTCATTGGGTCACTCTGATACTTAATGTTTCAAAGGTCAGCATATTAGTCCTCTGACCCACAGCCCATTATTTCTGTTATAGAAGAATATCAGAGAGACATTTTTCAAATAAGAACTTTTTAGGAGTTCTGTAATTCTGTTCATTGCTTACTTTTACTCAGTTTACTAAGCCTGGAGCTAGCAGGCCTCTATCAATGGATATGCACAGGTGCTATATTTAGGTTGACATAACTAGAGTTAGATTAAACTAAATGCCCATCTGTGCAGACATTTTGGGGAGTTAAATCAGGGAAAAAAAATTGTGGGCTTGATCTAAATTAGTTTACCTGAGGAAGTGAACTAACTTTTATATTGGGAATGAGTTAAACCACTCTCTCAAACACCTGTAAATGTTTGGAGCACAGCCCTAGTGCAGGGAAAACCCAAATGCTTGCCCCAGACCTGAGCTGTGTTCTTCCTATGTGCCCTCCACCCCCCAGCCCTGAGTAGGTTATTTTGAAGTCTACCCTTCCCACACCGCTGGATGGACTATTCCCACACATGGAACAACCAACCACCCCTCCAGATTCACCACCCCAGCAATGTCCCATCAACGCCCCCACCCTGGACCAGCCAACCCACCATGCAACCCACCATGCAGACCCAATCACACCTACTGTACCCTGAGTTACTTATTCTGGTTTCCCTACGTGGCTCCTGGGACTGGTGAGTACCTGTACATGCTGCTTCCAGTCTATGTTCACATGGCTTAAGTAAGCCGCATGAATGTAGACCAGGTGCAGCAAATGATTATATACACCCAATGAGGTTGTACTAGTACCTCTCCTAGATGCCATGATGAATAAGAAGATTAACAAAAACCGAGAAGAAGCTGGGGAAAAAGAATCATTTCTTTTTTAGAAGGACATTTTGGGTTAATCTGTATTAGAGCAGAAGGAAATTACTTATACTGTTTGGGTGATAACAGCGTAATGATTCTTCTGTGTTTTAGAATTATTCACTCTGCTTTCTTTCATTTGTTAAGATACCGGATGCTAAGTCAAAGACACACTCGTGAGTGTCTGGCAGATGGGTGGAGCAATGATTTGCCTCACTGTGAAGGTAAATGGAATGCAATACTTAATCCTTTGTCAAGCTGACTAGTAGCTAGTCTGCCAGAAACTGTTTAGGAACAAACAGATGCCTTTACTTACATTGCAGTTGTACCTTACTTAATATGCAGTCTGTCTAGTTTCAGTATGAATACTCATGGTGTAAGCTACTATTCAACAAGATCTAGGATGGTATAATCCCTTAATGTTGTTCTTAGGGTCTGCATTAAAAGGGTAAAACAAGGTAATGGATTTACAGCATGATAGCTACTCTGTGGCAGCTACCTGCCTGCCTGACTACATGCTTCAATTCTGTCAGTATGAAGTAGCTTATTCCACTGTTACTGGACACAGCTACACAAGAAATTTACTGTGAAGGTGACCAGTTAGTTGCACAGTTTCATCATCTACAGATGTACCCCTATTAGCCTAGAGTATTAACAAGAACTATCCTACTGTGAAGTAAAAACTCTGCAGCAGCATATATGTAGATGCTGAAGGGGCTGGCTGGGACATAAGGGTGATTCAGTGTGGAGGCTGCCTGCTGGCCCCCATACTGAAGCTCCTTCATGCCCCAGCCAGCCCCTCTGCAGCATATTGAGCCAGGGGGAACAGCCCTGGGCTGGCAGACTGATTTTTTTTCCCCCGCCTGCCAGTCCCCTGCCAGCTGGGTCTGCTTTAACCTGGCTGCACATGCTGAGTATGAATAAACTGTGAAGCATATTGCTCCAGAGTTAATTGCTCTTGGGTGAACATTCAAATAGTGTGCATAGGAGCAATAAACTCCAGAAAAATATGCTCCACAGTTTATTAATGTGCCATAATTGCGTGTGTAGAAGTGACCACTGCAAGGTAAGTTACCTCACGCTTACCAAGGGATGAACTTGTGACCAGTTACAAAGGAGGAGGTGACATATTTTACAACCAACATATTTTAAACCACATTAACTTAAAGCCATCCCACTTGATATTTTTTCTTAATTTGTCTCTTTAAAGTTATAATGCCGATATGGTAGCTATTCTTCAATACAAAAAATTCACAAGACTCCATAATGCATTGTAATGTTACTATGACTTAAGGCAATAAGAGAAAATATTACTCATTTTTGTTAACATCAAGGAGTCGACAGTAGAGGAAATTAGGGACGCAAGTCTATCATTCAGGCATGTGTAAAATCCTCCAAATCCCCGATAAACTCTGACGTGACCCTGTAGATGCCCAGTGGAGTCCTATTGAAGGGCCAGTTATCAAAGCAAACCAGGACTAGGTATTTCTGGTAATCTGTAATCCCAACAGTTTGATATGTAATGTATTTTTGGGTGGGAAGGGCTGGAAAATTGGAGGGTCACCTTCAAGCCCCAGTTCCAGTTAATAGTTAATTGCTACAGGGTCGAACAACTTTAATAGGAGAGACTGAGAGAAACCCAGGTCAGGATCTCCAGTAGTTGGTGGTTAGGGCCCTCTTGTGAGAAGTGGGAGACCTGTCTTCAGATCTCTGCCCCAAATATAATTTAGTACTTAAAAAACAGGTTCCACACCTACCAGGAAAGTGTTGTAACTACATATTTAATTACAGTAGTATGGAGGTCTGTTTGGATACTCTTAAAAAAGGACTGAGGCTTCATGGCTGAGAATAAGAGTGATGTTACAGGTTACCTTTAAACCATCATAAAAACACTTAAAATGGTAGCACTCATCCATTAAAGCATGTTAACCACACTAAAAACCATATAAACATTTTAAAGATATGCCAATTTAAAAGAAGGTTATTTCTGATCTGTTTTTGCCCAGGTCATTCCAGGGTATTATTAGTTTGCTCCAGGGAGATAAAATGTTGTGTTTTGATTCTTCCAGCATCCCAGGATGCACCATTCCCCACTCTTCATATTCCTTTGCTCCATGGGCAAACTTTCAACCTCCCTGAACTCTACCACCCAGGGGATGGCTCTGGCCCCAAGCCAATACCCACTCCTGCCCCAAAGATGTGGGACCCTTGACTAGTCCTAGTGCCCCAGTGCAGCTTACTAGTTTGGGGCTCACTCTAGCACCCCTGTGCATTCAATTGGCTTGTACAAAGAGATCAGTTAAAAAGCCAGTTAACTACTAATGAGCACAGGGAACTGGCTTTTAGTGTTGGGCAACCATCTCTCTCCCCACACACCTACTTCTCCCCATAGCTGTGAGCCACTGAACTCTGGCTCAGCTTCTCCTCCTCCATGGTATTCATTTGCATTGAATCATTTCATTTGAAATGGTTCTGTCAGCACTTACTCAGCCCATGCAGGATGCTCACTATGTCCCAGCTCTGATCCACTGTGGCAAGCATGCAGAGAGCCCCTTGACCCAATCCCAATTCAGTGAAATATGTGCAAGATTTTGGTGTTTTTTATTATTCTTTTTTTTTCACTCCTTTCTCTTTACTTGTCCCCCCTGCCTATTCACTTCAAACAGGCTTCTCCCCACCTAGTCACAGCTCCCAACTGGCTTCTGCTGGCTGTGGATTGAGGGAAGCCATATGGTGGTTTCTCCACCTCTGACCTATATGCCATCATCTCCTCTCTTCTCCCATCCTAGAGGAGGGATAGAGTCCTGGCTCCTGTCCATGCCCCTGCTTATTAGGCCCTCTAGTGGCAAGTCACAGTTCTGCAGGTCTGGTATTAAGCCTCTACCCAGTGCTTCCCAGTCTTTTCCTCAGCACAACCCCATTTATGACCCCATTTCCTCAGCATGACCCCTCACTCCTGACCCACAGCCTCCCAGCCCTGCTGGTGCCAATAACTCCCCACCCACATCCCCTTGGCCCTACTGGTGTCCCTCCCTCTCCACCCACGGCCCCCATGATCCCAGCCCTGTTAGTGCCCCTCACTCATAACCCACGGCCTCCTGCCCTCCCAAGCCTGCCGTAGGAGGCTTCCAACTGCCAGGGCTATAGAACCAAGGCCATGGCCCACAGCCTCCTGCCACCCATTTCCCTACAGCTCCTGAGCCCTGGCTACTGCCCATGGGAGGTGGCAGTTGCTGTGGCTGGAGTGAAGCACAGAGCGCAGCTCCCCTCACCCTGCTGCCTCCCCTACATATGTAGCAGGGGCAGAGTGGAGCCCTTGGCAGAGGAAGAGTGAAGCCCTTGAGAGGAGGTAAATGCTTCCTGCTGCCTTCCACCCATAGCCTCCGCAGCCCAAAGGGCAGGACCTGTCATGGGAGGGTGGGGAGGCTCAGTGCCACTTCCAAGGGCCTCACACCAGCTGCACTGCCATGGCTAGGCATCCCCTGCCTGCCCGGCAGCAGCAACAGTAGTGGCATGGAGTTGTACATGGTGGTGCAGCTGGTGTGGGGATCCCAGCAGTGGTACTGAGCTCTCCTACAGAGGCCCAAGGGGGAGAGAAGCAGGGTGGGAAGCCTTGAGCCTGAAACCCACATCTGCTGTACTGCCCATCCACTCTGACCTCATTTTTTATCATTGCAACTGCAAATGGGGTCATGACGCAAAGCTTGGGAACTATTCCCTTAACCTGTGATTGCTCTGAAACTGTTTTAACTTTCATAGTTTCATAGTTAGTAGGGTTGGAAGGGACCTGAGCAGATCATCAAGTCCGACCCCCTGCCATGGCAGGAAAGAGTACTGGGGTCAAACAACCCCAGCAGGGTGATTGTCTAGCTTTGTCTTAAAGACCCAAAAGGTAGGAGCCAGCACTAATTCTCTTGGAAGTTGGTTCCAGATCCTAGCCGCCCTGACCATGAAGTAGCGCCTCCTGATGTCTAGTCTGAATCTACCCTCTGCCAGCTTGTGACCATTATTTCTAGTCACTCCTGGTAGTGCTCGGGGGAACAGGGCCTCCCCCAATGCCTGCTGACCCCCTCTGACTAGTTTGGAACAGGCCACTAGATCCCCCCTCAGCCTTCTCTTGTGGAGGCTGAACAGGTTCAGGTCCCGTAGCCTTTCCTCATAGGGTCTGCCCTGCTGCCCCCTGATCATGTGAGTGGCCCTCCTCTGGACCCTCTCCATGTTGTCCACATCCCTCCTGAAGTGCAGTGCCCAGAACTGGATGCAGTACTCTAGCTGCGGCCTGACCAGTGCCACATAGAGGGGGAGGATCACCTCCTTGGATCTGCTTGAGATGCATCTGTGGATGCATGACAAGGTGCAGCTGGCCT